TTCAGTTTATCGGGTCGTTGCCTGTGGAACAGCCTGCCAGGGGATACGAGGGCTTCAGAATCATTAAGCACTTTTAAAATTAAATTTACTTTTTTTAAACTAGATTTTAATTAGAATTTTCGTCACGTGTTATTTTTTAACATGACTTTGCTAGAAATGTGTTACGTGATTTTATTTTGCGTACAATTTCACTTGTATTGTTCATGCCTGTAAAGCACTATGCATTGAAATAGTTTTGCACGAATAGTGCTTTATAAATAAAGTTTGAGTAATTGATTGTCGTGACAAGGCTCCGTTCCCCCCCCTCCTCCTCCCCCACAAGGTGGAGTTTGCCCGGTAGCCGTGGAATGTCGAGGGTCAAACATTGGGGTCATCGCTAGACGTCGAGCACCAAACGTTTGCTTCGTTTTACTCGGTAGGAATTTGGTGCGATGGGCGCTCGCTAACAGCACTTGTCCCCTAACCGGTCTGTTCATTGGGCTATCATATGTGGAATCGGTGTTTACCTCTTCTGGCAACAAATAAGTAATATAAAAAAATTAAAAACACGCTTTTATGAAATGTACCAGTAATGGAAGAACTCCACGACTCCAGGAAGTGGCCCCGAAGCTTTCCATAACATAAGGGACCGTGGCCAATTACAGCCAACGTCAGTTGACCGTGGACAATTAGACCCAAGCCGAAACATAACATATAATAAAGAATGTTTAAAAATATTTTTTTTAATGATAGAATATAGTATTGCCATCAGTATGACATAAGTAGACCAAATTTGCAGTCGATACCACATTGGAAAGTGGGTTAAAATTGAGTTACAAGATTTGAGGATACAACAACAACAGAGTGAGTTAAATAAAACCGTGTAAAAAAACAGGAGTTGTGGATTAACCACACACACAGTGCTTATGGCGAAACATGCAAACAGAAGTGCTCTGATAATGAACAACACGTATACGCGTCGTCTTTGAAACTGATTGGCCCACACCAGATGCAGCCTTCTTTATGGCCTCGTCTCAACCACCAGTGTCAGACCAGAGACTAACGCCAAATGTCTAACACTGCGCGGTGTTTAATAATAATTATCAGACCACGTTTGTATGTTTTCTCCCCACAAGTACTGTGTGGTGTGGTGAATGCAGACCTGATGCCTTGCAAAAGGCATCTCTCTGGTGCTTGAACGTCTGTGGATGACGCAGTTAACATGGCCCTCCACTTCACCCTACAGCATCTGGACTCCACAGCATCCTACGCCAGGATCCTGTTTGTGGACTTTAGCTCGGCTTTTAACACCATCATTCCTAGCCTGCTTCAGGACAAGCTCTCCCTGCTGAACGTACCAGACTCCACCTGCAGATGGATCACAGACTTCCTGTCTGACAGGAAGCAGTGTGTCAAACTGGGATCACAAGTTTCTGCCGCCAGGTCAATCAGCACCGGATCTCCTCAGGGCTGCGTCCTTTCCCCTCTGCTATTCACCCTGTACACCAACAGCTGCACCTCCAGTCACCAGTCTGTCAAACTCTTGAAGTTTGCGGACGACACCACCCTCATTGGGCTAATCTCTGATGGGGATGAGTCTGACTATAGGAGGGAAGCTGACAACCTGGTGACCTGGTGTAGCCAGAACAACCTGGAGCTTAATGCTCTTAAGACCGTGGAGATGGTTGTGGACTTCAGGAAGAATACAGCCCCACTCACCCCCATCATCCTGTGCGACTCCCCAGTCACCAATGTTGAGTCCTTCCGCTTCCTGGGCACTATTCTTTCCCAGGACCTCAAGTGGGAACTGAACATCAGCTCCCTTATCAAGAGAGCTCAACAGAGAATGTACTTCCTACGGCAGCTGAAGAAATTTAATCTGCCAAAGACAATGATGGTGTGCTTCTATACAGCTATCATTCAGTCCATCCTCACCTCCTCCATCACCGTCTGGTACGCTGCTGCAACTGCCAAGGACAAGAGCAGACTGCAGCGTATCATCCGCACTGCTGAGAAGGTGATTGGCTGTAATCTACCAACCCTTGAGGACCTGCACACTTTGAGGACCCTGAAGCGAGCGAGGAAGATTGCGGACGATTCCTCGCACCCTGGATACTCTCTGTTCCAGCTACTCCCCTCCGGCAGAAGGCTGCGGTCCATCAAGACCAAAACCTCACGTCATAAAAACAGTTTTTTTTCCCATCTGCTGTTGGCCTCCTCAACAAGGCCAAGGGCTTAAAATGACTTTTACACTTAAAATGACTGTTACACTTACTATAACATTTTATCTACATAATTACACCTTTCCATACTTACAACGTGTAATCTTATTTGTATTTTTGGATTTTAAGATTGTTTAATACGGCTAATTAACATTTTACATTCGCATTTTATAAGGTCTACTTATTCATAATTTTAAAGATTTTAGCCCTTTGGTATTACTTATACTTTGTAATGTTAGTATAGTTAGAGTGTATACCTTTTATATAAGTTAAGATTCCTACTTGTTCAATGTATGCACCGTCCCGCCATAGTGAATTCCTTGTTTGTGCAAACTTACATGGCGATTAAAACCGTTTCTGATTCTGATTAACTCAACTCCCGTTTTATTGCCAATAAGGCGAAATACCTCGTTATTTTTCATACTTTGATACTGGGCAAAGGTCGCATAGAGAGAGAGATATATAGAGACTGTGGGTGTTGTGTGGAATCTGTGTCTCCTTGCACGTGGCGAGAGTCGACGAGTCTCCTGTAACTGGCATTCTGACGTCCTCTCGGACAGGGAGAAGACGTGAGTGGGAAAGAGTGAGGAGAGGGAAGAGAGAGTGGGGAGAGAGTGAGGAGAGTACGGGGGGGAAGGGAGGAGACTTTTGACTTTTAAACAACTTTTATTGCCACCAGCAGCAACAGCACTGGAGGCGATTCCGATATGAAATACAGTCACCAGCAAACAAATACTCGCTATAAATCCACACACTGTGGTGCTAAATGTAGCGCGCACAACACGAAAGAAAAGCCACGTGGTAGTGGTGGTGGTGGTCATCGCGCACGCCACGGTGACGAGCGAGCGCTTCAGAAGGTGAACACGAGGGTGCCGTCCACGCTGGTACAGAGAGGGGCTTGTCCGGCTCCCCAGCGTTCGAAAAATACGTGCACATCACCGACATGTGTGTGGTACGCGTACTACAGCCGGAACCGCGCCTTAAGCAGGCCCCTGAACACTGGTGCACAGAGCAGCCGTCAGTGTCACCCCCCAGCATCTTTTTCTCGTTCTGTACACCGCCAACTTCGCCTGTGCTCAGTCATGGCGCTTGTTAGCCAGGTAAGGCACCACCCCATATACGAAGCTGCTGTTGTAGAAGGACACCCCCAGTTTCCTGAAGATGTCCCCCAAAAGGCGGAACATTGGCTTGAGCCGCTGGCAGTGTAAGTACTGGTGGGGCAGATCCTCCCTGGCACCGCAGGAAATGCACAAGTCTGTTACCCCTGGCGAGATTCGGCCAAGCCACACGGCCGATGGCAACGTGCAGTGTGCCAACCTCCACTGGAGGTCACCGCAGCATTTGGCTACGGGAGACTTGTACATTTGAAGAGAGAGCGGAGGAGAGAGTGAGGAGAGAGGGAAGAGAGAGCGGGAGAGGGGGTAGAGAGAGAGGGAAGGTGTAAGAAGGAGGAGAGCAGAGCGTGAAATATTTTGTGAAATATTTCATTAAAAAAAGGGGGGGGGGGCACATAATGCAAAGCATTGAAAAAAAAAACGAAATGATGAACGAAGCAAAGTGCCTACTACACCGAGCATCTTCTTGTTTCCTCTGATGGTAAAAAAAGAGAAGGCAAAAAGAGAGCGAGGAGAGGGAGGAGATAGCGAGGAGAGAGAGGGAGGGAGGTGCATGGCCGTTCGTAGTTGGTGGAGCGATTTGTCTGGTTCATTCCGATAACGAACGAGACTCTGACGTGCTAACTAGCTAGGCGGCGCCTGTCTCTCCGGAGAGGCCTCGCTGGAGGCAACTCTACTCCAGCGCGACGTACAACCGCATCGGTGACCTCAGCCGGAGCATCGCCCACGGCACCGTCACCACCAACGCCTCCCTGGCGCGCTTTACCGACACGTCCCCGGAGTGCCGGTTCTGCGGTAAAGTGGAGACGGTGGCGCACCAATACGTGGAGTGCAAGAGCCTGGACTCGGTCCTGAGAAACATCCTCCTAAGGTTCAGCCTCCACTTCTCCCCGACGGTCCTCATTTTTGGATACCCAAAGGGCGACGGACCCCAACATCTTCAGGGGCTGGTCAACGTACTCGTGGGCTACGGCAAGCTCGCCATTTACAGGGCGGGGAAGGTGGCCCTGGAGGGGAAACGTCCGGCCAGCAGCCTGGGGGCATCTTCCGCGCTCTGGTCGGAGCCCCAGGATGTGTGGGCTGGAGTTCCGCCATGCGGCGCGGCTGACCCACGCCGTGCCGGCCTTCAAGGAGCAGTGGGCGATGGAGGAGGCCGTGTGCTCGGTGGCAGATGACGGGGAGCTCTGCATGCAGTTGTGAGCTACCCGTCGGAGGCCGTCGGACTGCGAGAAGGGCTGCGTGCAGAGCAAGAGAGAGCGAGAGAGTGAGAGAGCGAGAGGTGGGGGTTTACATAAAGCCAAGTTATTATTTTTAAAAAATTACGAAATGATGAACGAAGCAAAGTGCCGACTACACAGAGCATCTTCTTGTTTCCACTGATCGTAAAAAAAAGAGAGAGGGGGGAGATAGCGAAGAGAGAGAGAGCGAGCGAGTGAGTGAGAGTGAGCGAGAGGTGGGGGTTTAAATAAAGCAAAGGTAAAAAATGTTAATTGAAATAAAAAATATTACGAAATGATGAACGAGGCAAAGTGCCGAATACACCGAGCATCTGATCGTAAAAAAAGAGAGGGAGAAGAGGGAGGAGATAGCGAGGAAGGGAGGGAGAAGATAACGTGGAGAGGGAGGAGAGAGGGAGGGGGGAGATAGAGTGGAGAGGGAGGAGAGAGAGGAGGGAGGAGATAGCGAGGAGAGGGAGGAGATAGCGTGGAGAGAGGGAGAGGGAGGCAGGGAGGAGATCTGGAGTTGTAGGCGGCGCCTTCGCCTCTTATTCCTTTCCCGCCATGGACGCCCCTGCAGAGAGCAGCGCGGGAAACTGCGTCGTGGTGAGCGACTCGGAGACGCATTTCACTGATTAATAAAGGATGTAGGACATAACTGTGAGGGAAATGTTGTTCGCTTCTAAGATTTAACAATTTTTATTAAATAAAAAAATCCTCCTCGTGGCGGCGTTTCAATGTCAACGCGGGTGCCGTGCGTGTACAGTGCGTGCGGCGCATGAGGCGATTTATATTTAAATGTTTTTTTTTAAATACATTCAGCTTTGGTTGCCGATTTGTTTTTGTGTGCGACGCCTTAGCGAATGTTGAAGGCGGCTTTTGTGTTTTTTTTGGGGGGATATTTTGTTTCGTTTATTACAAAGAGACGTTTTGTGTGCCCGCGTGCCTTAACGGATGTGTGGGTGGTTAAGCCCGCACTGTACACGTTTAATTTACACTCAACGCGACTCAACGACGCAATTATTCCCCTCGCAACACCACACCAGCAACAAGGACGTCAATGTGTCGCAGTAAAACAAAGTAAACACTCTACAGGGCTCCGTGAAAGCGAGTGCGTGGCATGTACAGTGCTAACACGTGCAGCGGTGCGTCTAGTTTAACGGTGACGAAGCGAAAGCTTTTGTTAGTTTTTAAACAAAATCGTTGCTTAGACGACTGCGTTGTTTGGGGTGGGTGGGGTATGTTCAATATCGCCTTTGAAAGTGGTGCAGAGAGAGAGAGAGGTGAGATGAGAGAGAGATGAGAGTTATCCTTGAGGCGATGCCCGCGGCCTCGTCATTGCCACCTGTGCCAGCTCAAGTCGAGCCCTTTGCGTAGCGATTTTAGTTTTATACAGAAACAAAACTCGGCAGTTCTAGATTTGAAGCTTTCGTGACTGCAAGGATTCATACCCTTAGGTTTTTTCGGTAAAACCATGTAGGCAAAAAATTAATAATAAATCAATAAATGAAAAAATCAATACATTATTTATTATTTTATTTCTCGCATTATTTATATTATTTTATTGTTTTTTACCTACGTGACTTTACCGAAAAAACCTAAAAGTAAGACTCGGTAGCTGCGTCAAGTTTAAATACGTAACAGCAGTAGTAGGGAGGCTTTTGCAATCAAGATTATTCGATTTAAAGCTTTCGTGACTGCAGGGATTCATATTCTTGGTTCTTTCGGTAAAGTCACGTAGAAGGGAAATAATAAAATAATACAATTTTTAAACAATACAATTCTCACGACGTTTTAACTGCAACACAAGCAATCATCATCAGGTGTGACATCCACAGCAAGAAAATTTCAAATTTTGATGATGATTTCACACCTGATGACGATTGCCTGTGTTGCAGTTGAAACGTCGTGAGAATTTTATTGTTTTATATTATTTTATTATTTTCCTTCTACGTGACTTTACCGAAAGAACCAAGATTTTGGTGTGCGGGTTTTTTTCTTCCCTTTCCCCCCCCCCCCCCGTTTGTGTGAGATCGCGCAAATATTTGATGCGTCTGTGGAACCCTTCACCACCCGACACAGCACGATTAGTGACGACGGTGGTTGTCACGTCAAACGAAACGCGCCGATTTTAGTTGACGACCAGGGCACAACCGCTGAGTTGGAGAGCAAATTTAACAAACAAAAAACCCCGCATCATTTACAATTCGAGTACGACGTCTCGCTGGTGATTCCATAGCTATTCATATTCTTTGGGTCTTTTGGTAAAGTCACGTTGATAGGTCCCATACCTGTCAATCACTTATCACTATGTAACACGAGTTTCGTCCCTGGGTAGTAAGTGTTATTTTTTAATTGCTTACGCCTCAAAAGTATATAAAATGGCTATTCCCCAAAAACTTTGCTTTTGTAACCAGGACTTTGTGAATGAAAGACACAAATGCGCATGTTTTCTCATTGAAAATAGGTAGATTTCAAAATATCACTTTCCTGGTCACAAAAGCAAAGCTTGTGGGGAATAATAGCCATTTTCTGTACCTTTGAGGCATAAGCAATTAGGAAATAACACTTACTACCCAGGAACAAAAAAATGTTGTTACACAGTGAATTATCGGTGCCCCAACCTTATTAACAGACCAACTCAGACCTTATTAGTCACCCAGTGCACTTATAAATCCCAAGTCCCATCACCAGGAAGAAACAAATAGTCACCACTAGTACACTCACCACTAGTACACTCACCGCGACACTCTCCACTACACTCACCACTAGTACACTCACCACTACACTCTCCACTACACTCACCACTAGTACACTCACCACTAGTACACTCACCACTAGTACACTCACCACTACACTCACCACTACACTCACCACTACACTCACCACTAGCACACTCACCACTAGTACACTCGCCACTAGTACACTCACCACTACACTCACCACTACACTCACCAATAGTACACTCACCACTAGTACACTCACCACTAGTACACTCACCACTACACTCACCACTAGCACACTCACCACTAGCACACTCACCACTAGTACACTCTCCACTAGCACACTCACCACTAGTACACTCACCACTAGCACACTCACCACTAGTACACTCACCACTAGCACACTCACCACTAGCACACTCACCACTAGCACACTCACCACTAGTACACTCACCACTAGTACACTCACCACTAGTACACTCACCACTACACTCACCACTAGTATACTCACTAGTACACTCACCACTAGCACACTCACCACTAGTACACTCACCACTAGTACACTCACCACTAGCACACTCACCACTAGCACACTCACCACCAGTACACTCACCACTAGTACACTCACCGCGACACTCACCACTACACTCACCACCACTACACTCACCACTACTACACTCGCCACTAGTACACTCACCACTAGTACACTGACCGTGACACTCACCACTACACTCACCACTAGTATACTCACCACTACACTCACCACTAGTACACTCACCACTACACTCACCACTAGTACACTCACCACTACTCACCACTACACTCACCACTAGTACACTCACCACTACACTCACCACTAGTACACTCACCACTACACTCACCGCTAGTACACTCACCACTAGTACACTCACAAGTACACTCACCACTAGTACACTGACCGCGACACTCACCACTACACTCACCACTAGTACACTCACCACTACACTCACCACTAGTACACTCACCACTACACTCACCACTAGTACACTCACCACTACTCACCACTACACTCACCACTAGTACACTCACCACTACACTCACCACTAGTACACTCACCACTACACTCACCACTAGTACACTCACCACTACACTCACCACTAGTACACTCACCACTACTCACCACCACTCACCACTAGTACGCTCACCACTACACTCACCACTACACTCACCACTAGTACACTCACCACTACACCCACCACTACACTCACCACTAGTACACTCACCACTAGTACACTCACCACTAGTACACTCACCACTAGTACACTCACCACTACACTCACCACTAGTACACTCACCACTAGTACACTCACCACTAGTACACTCACAAGTACACTCACCACTAGTACACTCGCCGCTACACTCGCCACTACACTCACCACTACTACACTCACCACTAGTACACTCACCACTACACTCACCACTAGTACACTCACCACTACACTCACCACTACACTCACCACTAGTACACTCACCACTGCATACCTGTCAACCCCTTACCAGTGCCTACCTTATTACAGACCAACTCAGACCTTTTTGGTCACCCTGTGGCCATAATAAATCTTAACGTTCATCCGACAAAGTCCCATCACAAGGGAGAAATACAAACAAATAGACAGAAAAATAAAAAATAAATGCCCGCATTGAAACGGCTGTACGCCGCATGGATCTGAAAACTCAATTTCTCTTCAAGAATATGGGTTAAACCGAATTGGTTGACAGCTATGTGATAACGCCACCAGCTTCGTCAGGCGATTACGCCATGTTTCGCTCCCCTTTTCTTGAAATGCCGCCACCTGCCTGGGCAGTTCACCAGGCGCACTGCTTGATGAGAAGCCGAATGTCGAAACCGGTCCAGAGGAGAGGAGGGGGTGAGGGAGGCGTTGTTGCCGCCGCCACGCGTCTTAACAAACGCTGCTGATTTGAGATGCCCTCCCCATGAAAGGCATGCATTGTGTGGCCGACGGGAGACACAGACGCTGGGGAACGGGGCGTCTCCGTCTGCTTATTTTTTGTCGTTTTCTCCACAAGGGACGCTCAACGATCGGTCTGTGTTGGGGTAAATAAAAAAAAGTCAAGGGGTTACAGTACCTCCTTATATAAGGATCGGTTGGGGCGTTGGTGCTTATGTTCCGTTCACAGCCCTTTAAGAGGCTCGTGATGATAATTCCACATTCCTATGGTAAAGGGGTGAGTCTCCCCATAAGGACAACACCCGCCTGCGACTCACCCCCTACACACGCACAAAGCAGTGGCATATTTGATCGACCCTGGAAGGAGAGATAATGGGCTGAGTCAACCCCTCAACCCAATTTGTTTTATTTATTAAATGTCTTATCTGGGAGAAGACCCTGAGGCCATCCCAGGACACGCTGGCGGGACTACGTCGCTCGGCTGGCCTGGGAACGCCTGGGAATTCTCCAGGAAGAGCTAGAGGCTGTTTCGCCAGGGAAAGGGAGGTCTGGACCACCACTACTCAACACGCTGCCGCCGCCGCGGCCCTCACCAGAACAGGCGGCTTGAGAAACGAACGAACTTATCTGGGAGAGACAAATATGGCGAGGAGGAGGAGGGGTCAAGTCTCGCGCGTTCATGGCCCACGTTCGTCTAACGTCGTTCCGGGTTTACAACCGTTACCAGCCAATCTTCCGTCTTTGTTTCTGCACAGAAAATGGTTAGCCACCAATAGGTCGGTGGAATTAACATACCTGTCAACCCATACGGTTTACCCGTAGTCTTGTAGAGGGAAATTGCGTTTTTAGGTCCATACGGCATACAGCCGTTTCAATACGGGCAAAAAATAAATGTCATCTATTTGTACCATTGGTACCTCATTTGCCAGTAAAAAATATAATGGTTTTTTTACCCTTCAATCTGGCAACAAAACTGACACCTTTTTTTTACAAGGAGTCATGTTTGCATAGACCACAATACCTGCAGTCAAAATGCAAACAAAAACATAACTGATAATGTATGCATTGTCCTTGAAGTTTATTGGTCCACACCCGAGACAGCTTTCCTTAGAGCCTAGTCTCACATGGGTTGGACCAGATGATGCCAAAAGGCGCACAACTCAAAGACAGTGCACCTCATACTCTGATGGTGCATTGTCTTTGAGTTGTCTCGGTGACCAATAAAGTCTGAATTAGTCTTAATAAGGTAGGCACTGATAAGGGATTGACAGGTATGAATTAAGAACATTAAAAAAAAATCTACATGTGGAGATGCAATCTGAATTTGTTGTATCCATAATTCTCCACAACAACCACAAGATAAGTTTGTTTACTTGAACCATGGCTACATTCCATATCCTGCCATATCATAGGACCAGACTCGAGCTAATATTTGCTTTACGTCTGGTGACCCCTCACTGTTTATGATTTGGCATTTCACGAAGCGGTTGGATAATGGGGTAAACAAGCCTGCCACAATCACCTTGTCAGTGCTTTGAGGTCGGTAACCTTTAAAACCGATATGAATCGCCTGCTGATAATAAACGCCCAATGTAAAGATATCCATTAAAAAAACATAAAAGTTTGAGGCGCTTTTGTAATATTCCATTGAAATTCTCACGTTCTGTGACCCCACCCCATTAAAAAAACATAAAAGTTTGAGGCGCTTTTGTAATATTCCATTGAAATTCTCACGTTCTGTGACCCCACCCCAATTCATGTACTCAGTAGACGTGTAAACAGTTGGTTACGAGTCTGTGGCAAAGTCCCGATCAGGGCTATGATTTGTCCACTGCTGGGCGAAGGTCTGACCAAGTCGTCACCCTCTCTCTTGCGATGTGCCGTCTGGCTGTCCTGCACGTGATCAGATCTCGTCGCTCCGCACCTTCGCTGCGCAGGACCTCTCTGGTTAATTCGCTCTTTTTGGCTGCCGCTACGTCCGTCGTTGCGCTCCACCACCGGACATCAACCCTCCGAGCGACGCGTCCTGCCCTCGCCCACGCCAGCTTTTACCGTTCACGAGTCATTTAGTGTCCCGCGCGGCTGTTGATGGCCCTAGTTGCGATGGTGGAAATTCCTCCTTCACAAGATCGCACTGAAATTGTTGGCCCCGGAAGGTTGATGTTGTTTTTTTTATATTTGTCACATAACACCACGACGTGGGGATGTACGTCATTGAAACTGCGCTGCGAGCTGGAAAGAGGAACACGTGGATGGAAGAACATGCGCAGGTTGAGACTAAACGTCATGTGCACCGCTACGAATAGTGAGTTCAGTGAACAAGGTGATGTCGGGGGGGGGGGCAGATATTCACTCAAGTGATCCACGGTTAGAAGTCGTGTGCCACTTTCACACTTTTTGTGGAGCGTCCTTGAGTCTCCGTGTGTGCATGAACCATCCACGGCGTCCGTGTGTTCTGATATGCTCCACGACTGCCATCACCAAGGGAGTATAAATCCAGGAGGTTCAAATGCTGGCTCAGCCATGAGGCTCTTGTTTTAACCTCAGCAGTTTTCACCGAACTCTGTATCGGATGTCACGTGGCCAATGCCAGGCCCATCCATCTGCACTTGGGTGTAAGATGGAGGCATCCTTTCATTCTCACGTGGTACCCGACTGCGGATTTAGTGCCCCTTAGACTTTCACAATCGAGTGCAATGGATGACTCATAAATTAGCAGGCTCTCAGGCTATGGCCAAATCTAATGCAACGGATAACCACGCTTGAGAACACCTTGGGGGATCTGTCGCAAGGGATCGCTCGTGCGTTGTAGGAAGGTTTTTCGTTTGCGATCTTGACTGGGTGGTTTGGTAGGGGCCCACATAGGAGTCTGTTTGGGGACCCTGTGAGGAAGGGGGGAAGGGAAGGGTTTTGGGGTGGGGGAGTGTTGGTGGTGTTTGGGCACAACATTTAAAAGGGGCATCTGTGTACAGCACTTAACATGTTGTATTTGTGTCGCAAATAAACTTGCAGAGTTGATGAGCGATGTTCCTAAAAAGTCAACCACCCAGCAACAAGCAGCACTGTCACAGTTGTAATAGGGATAAGCTATCACGTCTTTTTTAATTGAAGTAAATGTATTATTACAAGTGCCTGGGCATTGAGACGATGGGAGAGAATTCCAAAGTGGAGTAGTGCGAGGGAAGAAGCAGAAAGACAAGTGAGGTGACCTGCATTGTGGTGGTTGGGTGAGCGGGTGAGTGAGTGTGAGCGAGTTATTGAGTGGGTGAGTGTGGCATTGTGACCTCCAGTGGAGGAGTCAATCTGGTGAGGTGGGAACTGGGTGCTCCTCCCCAGATGTGACAAGAGGCGTTACACCATCTTTCAAGCTCCTCTTTTCTATCTCTGCCTGTCCATCTCTTGTCTCTCTATTTAAAATATTCTCCCTCTTTTATCGTTTCCTAGATAATCAGAATCTTTATTTAGACTGGAGGAATCCGATGAACTATCATGCCCAGTAAGGGCGGGTCAGCAAGTTACACACAATAAAAAAACGACGATGGGAGTGCAGAATAGAGAAAATGGTAAGCAAATAACAAAATAAAAATAAAGGAATAAATTCGTATTTTTTATATAACTTAATGCAAGCTTGGGTAAGTCAGCAAAACAACAACAAATACAGTCCCAGACCACACCAAGCCAACACGCAGTGTCTCGGTAAAATGGCACTTGGAAATTGAACTATCGATGCACGGGTAAGGATCAAAGTTATAAATCGCATTGGCAAAATGGATTTGTATTCAGCACTAATCTTCCGCTTCAGGATATATTTTAAAGGAAGATTAAACTTGGGGGCTCCCATTAAACAGCATATTCATCAGCTATGGTCAATCCATGGTTAAATGCAGTCCCCCCCCCAACGTCCCCCCCCCCCCCCTTTTACCATCCTCTACATGCCAGAATGGTGAGGTATTGTAATACAACTCCACGTGACGGAACGTCACGGATAGGTCTTTATCCAGCAGTGGCTGATAGGGGGCTGTACAGTGTACATTACAAGCCCCATTGTTGCGCACATTTAATGTGGACTTTGTATGCACCAGTGCTCTGCTTGTCTATACTTACTGTTCTTCGTGGTGATATAATATTATACACACTGTCTCCCTAGCGAGGGATCGAAAGCACCTGCGGAAAATAATTTGTGCCGCGCCGCGGTCTAAATGGCGACGCACAAGGGAGGATGCCGTCCGGGTTGAGCAGCGGTCGACGGCTCCCGTGGGTGGTGCGGGAGCTGGAGAGGGGGGGAGGGGACAGACGGACGCGGCACGAGATGAAATGGGGCACCGCTTAAGCGCTTAACGGCGGTGGTGGCGGTGTCGAGGGGTCGTATGAAATTAAAGTGCTCCGTGCCGTGGCAGGTTTATCCGGGCTGCCAATCCGCTTAGCGCCACGCGTCGTTTACGCGTTAATGCGGCGGTCGGCGCCGCGTGCTCGTGTTTTGTTGTTCCCGTGTTTTTGCGATCGTTTATATTTTTTTGGCCTCTTCCAAGCAGAACAGGACAAGCAGCAATCTCCGTTTCTTGTCTCCACACAAATAGAAAAAAGGTGGGGTGTTTTCATCGGCTTTCGCGACCAAATGCCAAATAATCAAGCGGAAATTGTTGACGCCAGCAAACGGCCTGGACTTGTTTCGACCGTCCAGTCGTCTTAAAATGTGGAATTGAGGTGGTGCCAGGGGAAGAGAGGGTAGGAGTGAGACGACGCGAGCCGGCGCTCCAGTTGCGTGTGGCTCACGGGAACACAGTAATTGAAAGGCGCCGCTTTAAAATCTTGTTTGCAGATTAGGGATACTGACCCTGGCTACGACCTCTGCAAGTTTTGCATCCCCACTCACTACATGGATGACCTGGACCGGGTGTTCATCCCACACGGACTCATCATGGACAGGTGTGCACGTGTGTACGTGTGTGTGTCTGCACGCGCTTGTGTGTGTGCACACTTGCGATGCAGCGTTTTAACGCACTGCACTATGAACCCGCCGATCCGAGTTTGAATCCCGCTCACCCCAGGAACGTTCCAATGGAATCAGTTACTGAATCCTGACTTTCCAAAATCTGGGAATTGGTTCTGAAAATGGTTACCGCTTAAACCGGTTACCGCTTAACGACCCTAATCTTCATCGTGGTGCTTGCACACTGCAATAATGTGATTCATAATTTAATTCCGCGTAAGACCAAGTAATGATTACGCAAAAAAAATTTCTGACCCGAAGATGCTTGACGCAGTTTCGAGCGAAACATCGGATCCAATTGACTAATTCGGTTGCGTGAGAATCGTTCTTCACCTCACCGGCGAGCGACCTGGCACGTCGTTAAAACGCTTGCACACCACGTGACAATTACATTTGATTGGCCGTGTCGGGTGGCGGAGGGTTCTTAACGACGACATCATTACGCGGCCTTCCCCGAACGCCCCGATTATGAATCGCGGACGTCGCGGGTTTTGTGCAACGCTCAGCCCACCCTTCGTCGCGCGCTCAGCCCACCCTTCGTCGCGCCCGCAGGACGGAGCGGTTGGCGCGGGACATCCTCAAGGACATGGGCGGGCACCACATTGTGGCGCTGTGCGTCCTCAAGGGCGGCTACAAGTTCTTCGCCGATCTCCTCGACTTCATCAAGGCGCTCAACCGCAACACGGAGCAGTCCATCCCGCTCACCGTCGACTTCATCCGACTCAAGAGCTACTGCGTGCGTGAGCGGGGACTCGTGCGGCGCGAGACTTCGATCCGTCTTCGTGCGTCGGGACGCTTGCGTTTGTTGCCGAGCTTCACCCAGTTTCCAAGTGAAATGTAGCGTTATCTGATCGCTGCTGCGTCTGGTCGTGAGGACCGTACTTGAACTCATCCAGTGGTTTGAGCCCAAACTAAAATAATCGGCGTGCGTCGTTATACGCTTGTACGCCACATGACGGCGATAATTTGTCTGGTGGTGGAGTCGGCTTCACGCGATGACGAAATTGACGGGGCTGCGTGTGTCGCGCGTGTGTACAGAACGATCAGTCGACGGGACAGATCCGGGTGATTGGCGGCGATGACTTCGGCACATTAACTGGAAAGGTAACCGATGCTCTTGGTTTTAAACGATTGTGCGGCTACCGGTGTAATGTTGCCGTGACGTGCAGATATTCACGTTTAGAAATCTCCGCAGAAAGTAGTGTAACATCAACATGTTTCGGAACAGCCTCCGGAAGATAACATTACAGAACTACTTTCGGCTCGCTCACCGTCAAGTTATTGAGCAGTTCTCACAATAAAATGTATCTCCATTAGATAGGCGACGTTCCGCTTGAAACTGTCAAGCATCATCAAGACACGACCCAGGAAGTGAGAGAGTAAAAATCCAGGAAGTCTGTTAACATGATGGCAGTTCATTAGAGTTTTTACTGGTAGCAACCTCCTGGTTACACCAGCCCACAGGGGATTATTGTGTCCGTCGTGCAGAGAGGGGCTAGGTGGGGAGGGTGGGGAGGGTGGGGAGGGGCTGGGTGGGGTAGGGGCTGCTCACTCCGTGGTGCCCTTATAAAACTCAACGTTTAACCTACTCACGCCGGCTTGTGCCCGCCCTCACAGTCGGGCATATTTGCGAAATACACCACGCCGCCGTTGACCCTGGCCATTGACCGAGCAACCCAACGTTCCTACCAGTTCCCTCCGCAGGAATGTGTTTGGGTTAGATCGCATAAATATAAATGTGTCGTTAAACCCGCCACCACCCGACAGCCAAGTCGTAAGGTTTGTCACGTAAATGAAACATGCCAATTTGTTACTCGTTCAGCACACTGGAGAGTGAACCCACAACATTTACAATTCGAGTCCTTGTAATATTTCGCCGGAAATTACAACCTGGCCTCATCAGGCGACAGCCAGATTTGTGGAGAAATCCTCCTCCTGTTTTGGTCTTAGGGGGGATAAATGTGATGTCTCCACTTATGATACAATCAGGTATAAAGACCAGAGGAAGGGGTTAATGTGAGAGTATGAAATTGTAAATTTGCACAACAATTAAATATTTTTCATACTTTAGATGAGAGCGCATGAACCATCGACTCGCTGCATTTGAGAAACTGGTTTAATAGCGAGCGGCTGAGCCCCAGATTTACACCCCGCATCTCTGCGGCGGCGGCGCAGGCTGTTGGCTTTTTTCCAGTAACGTTGCGGGAGGTCTTGGACGTCCGCTGTGAGTGAACCGGAAGGCGCGTAGTCATTCACGGCTAATACCGCGCCCCACATTATTAGCCGGGCGAGGATTACTTAATTCCTGTGGTTGTCGTGCAAGCATTATAAAGCTTCCTATATTTTTATACAAATTGTGCCTCATTTTGTCCGTCTCAAAATCGTCCCTTGGTTCGTATATCGCTCTGCTCTGTTTAATTAGGCTTTAGTTTTACGGCTGTAATAACGCGGTATTTGTTTTGACTTTTCACGGTCGGTGCCGGGAGGAATTACCATCTGATGACCTTTTGACCTTTGTGGCCGCCATAAGGTGTCCCGCGCAAAATAAATAAGTGAAATTGCCTCTCGCTAAAGCTACAAGCTCAGCGTTTTTGAGCACTGCTTACTATTTATAAAAGTTGGTCACCACTGCACTGCATGAAGTGTGCGGAAGCTGCACTGTTAACCTATTCTGTGTGGATTTTTTTGCGTTTCAGAATGTGCTCATCGTTGAGGTGAGTGCCGTTTGGTTTTCGATCGGTGGGTAATATAAACCTGGCGGTTAGGGCGCCAACTCGGTAAGCCCCAGCTCAGGTTCGCATATCTCGCCGGGAATCGAATCGGCTCTAACCTCCCCCATGCGGTGGATAAAATTGAGAACCTCTTTGTGGGTAGCTGGTGGCGGAGCAGTCAGGCTGCTGTTATGGAGCTGGGAGCAATGCGCTGGGCGTGCGTGCCATTGCATCGTGTCGCACAGCTTAGGTGGTGAAAATTGTCTAAGCCAGTTGATGTTGCCGTCTTGCACCTCTTTGAAGAGTCTTAACGTCGTACAGCCTGTTAGCCGGGTGTCGGTGGCCGCGTGCGTGGTTCTGTACTCCAGCGCTATGGAGTAGGCCTCGGCAAGGTAAGGTAATTTACCCTTTTTACCGGGTAAAAGGGTAAGGGTAAAGGTGTCGACATGCCAAGGGGTAAGGTAAAGGGTAGGGTAAAGGTAGCTCGGAAGAATTACCCGGTAGGGTAAAGGTAGCTCTGAAGTATTACCCGGTAAATACGGTACCTTGTTTACCGCTAAAAGCTCCGTGGCGCAGTCCGTGGCCTCCATTTAATAAGTAATATTTTTAAAAACTTTTTTAAAAACACGCTTTTATTAAATGTACTAGTCATGGCAGAACTCCACGACTCCAGGAAGTGGCCCTGAAGCTTGCCACAACGTAAGGGGCCGTGGCCAATTACAGCCAACGTCTGTTGAGTGTGGACAATTAGACCCAAGCCGAAACATAACATATACAAAATAATTTAAAATATATATATTTATGATAGAATATAGTATTGTCATCGGTATGACATAAGCATACCAAGTTTGCAGTCGATAGTCAATACCACATTAGGAAGTGGGTCAAAATTGAGTTCCAAGATTTGAGGATACGACGACGACAACGACAATAACAACGACAACAGACAGAGTGCGTTAAAAGAAAGCGTGTAAAATTGGAATAATCGAGAGTATTCTATATGGATTAAGAGCTCTACCTAGCATTTACCGTTACAAACCTTTTTCATGTGTAGTATTCCAGTAATTACCCTGTAATCGGGTCATTTGTATGGGCTAAGGGTAAAAGGTAGGGTAAAGGTAGGCTCGTTGCTTTTTACCTTACCTGCTAAAGGGTTAAAGGTAGGGTAGAGTGATTGTATTGTGGTAAGGTAAAAGGTAAGGTAAAGGTAGGCTTGTTGTTTTTACCTTTTAACTTTTACCTTACCTTGCCGAGGCCTACTACGGAGGCAAGAGCGGGTTGGTGGGTCGCACAAATTTTTCAAAACTCTTCTTTTCCCGCGGGCGCCGAGGAGAATCCGTAACTACCCTGGCTCGCCAAGGGAAGGCGGTACAGCGACGGGCGGGACGAGATGTTGCCCCTTGGCACGCGTGGGTTTTCTCCAGGCACTCCGATTTCCTTCCACTTGGGTCAATACTAATTGGCAGAAAAACCTCTGAATATACATTAGGGACTCTCGGTTATTCACGTGCGGTTTATCCGATTTGCGGATTAACCGCACACCTGAGATTTTGACATAAATACCTAACTCGTGGATTATTCCCTAAAGGCCAAATTAATAATCTACAAACAATTGTACATTGCTATTCTTGGAATGTTTATGACAAGTGACGTGCTTAAACCGAACAAACGTGTTGCTCTGGTGAATCGGAAATCTACGTGATCACCTCTACAGTACAGTAATGGCATATCTTTACACCAGTGTGCGGGGTTTGATTGACGTTGATTGGCGTGGCTCTGCTGCTATCCACTTAGAGTGCCGAGTCTTCTGCGTGGGAGCAGGAAAGTGTTATCACTGAGCAACTCAGTTTTCTCAACTTAAACATAATTTATGCCTATATTAGTGGTTTTCGGCATAGAGATCCGCAGAAAATTGATATATTTGGCTTATCCGTTATTCTGCGCCCATCCTCCCCATCACTAGCGTGGGTAATCGAGAGTCTACGGTAGAGAGGACCGCAGAGTTCGGCGGTTGTTGGTAGCGTTGGCTCACCGCTTGGCTGCCACCATCCAGCTCGTTTCTCTGGTTCCTCGGTGATTGTGAGCTGCAGTTTGCACGAACGACAACACTGTACGTAGAATTAAACGTTGTTGCAGCCCAGAATTTTTTGAGGTGTGTCTGTTCTGTGTTTTTGCAGGACATCATTGACACAGGCAGGACCATGCAGACGTTGTTGAGCATGCTGAAGGACTACAAGCCCAACATGGTGAAGGTGGCCAGGTTGGTGCACGCGCGTGTGTGTGTGTGTCAGGTGGGGAACGGTGGCGCAGTGGTTTGCACACTGCTACGAACCCGGCAACCCAAGTTCGATTCCTGTTCGCTGCCAACACCAGTGACGAATTTCTAAACCGTGGTGCTGGCCACCCACGCTCTCGCGTGCCGTAGCGAGCACCTATGCCGGCCTGCATAGGTGCTCGCTAACAGCACTTGCCCCCGTTTGAGCGCGTCGCTGTGGTCCGTACGTGCCACTCGCAAACGGACTTGGAAATGAGCGGTGTTGGTTGTGCATCCACTCGCTCGGATGCGGACCCGATGGTCGCAGGCGGCGATGAAGCTACGCGGTTCATGTCGAGGTTCGCGTTTTTGGCTGCACGGTGGACGACTCGTCGGGCCTGAACCTGCGTTGACGCTTGTGGTGCCGCGTTGTGGCGCGTTGTGCTGTCTCGGCAGTTTGCTGGTAAAGCGGACGCCGCGCAGCGTGGGATACCGCCCGGATTGTGAGTAGCGCCCGTCCCCCACCCCCCTCCTTGTCCATTTCCTCTTGTTTCGTGCGGTAAACGAAGAGCGCCGCCTAATTGAGTTTTAGTTCTAAGTGATTTGAGCCAGTCAATTGCTTCGTCTGAGAGTTGGTGATTGCAGTTGCACCCACCCACCCTACCAACCCACCCTGCCAATTCACCCACCCACCCACCCTGCCAACCCACCACCCTGCCAACCCACCACCCTACCAACCCACCCACCGTGCCAACCCACCCACGCTACCAACCCACCCACCCTGCCAACCCACCCACCCTACCAAACCACCCACCCTACCAACCAAACCACCCACCCTACCAACCAAGCCACCCACCCTACCAACCCAACCACCCACCCTACCAACCCACCCACTACAAACCCACCCACACTACCAACCCATTCACCTCGCCAACCCACCCACCCTACCAACCCAACCACCCACCCACCCACAAGCACTCGTAGCTACTTAGTAACAGACAATACCATGACTAATACAAAAAAACATGTTATTTTCCCCAAGCCCCGTGGTGTAAAGTGCTGTCTCCAACTCTTTTTGTCCTCCCTGTCTCTCTGGCCTGTCTCTCCGCACGCCCATTGCCAGAAACGTCGCCTGCTAGAAATATTTTTACTTTTAAGGCCACGGTTTAATTGTCGACGAACGTGTAGAGTTTTTATCACCATCATTATTATTTGAGCTCTTGCACCACTTGCCAACGCAGCTCGTTAACGTAAACTCTCACCTGACCGTTTTTCTTTCTTTCAGATATCGGCTTCGAAATCCCGGACGAGTTTGTTGTGGGATACGCGCTGGACTACAACGAGTACTTCCGGGACCTCAATGTGAGTTGACGTACACGTGTACTAAAAGACAAAAAAAACTAAACTCGTTTTATTTCACCAGCTGAGGGCCCACTCAGCTATCTAGCTCTGGCCACAATTGATCAATCAACGAAGTGGCTTATCACGTGGGAATTAAAAGCGGCAGCAGCGTAATACTCTAAACGAAATACTCTAAATACAATGGCAGTGAGGTTGTATCACTCGCACCAACGGCTCTGGGTCATATGGTGGCAACCTATCAGCTCGCTCCCCTCGAGAATCCGGTTTAATAATGGGAAACTGAAACCTCAGTAGTGTGCCGGATCTGACCCCTGAGTCAGCCAACACCTTCCTGTCTACGCCTGTGCGTGGCTAACACAAGTGGCGAGTGATAGCAGAGCCGGTCTTGGGTCTCGACTGGGTTGACTCGGCCTAAATAGATGTGTAAACATCACCATATTGCCACTAGGGAGACAAAGGCGGCCGGGCGTGGTGCTGGCCGCCCACCCAACCCCCCATCGTGTGCCGACAGCACTTACCCTGTCAGTCTGTTAAGGCTATAAGGGGGGGTCTTTGTTTTTGTACGGTGGCACAGCGATTAGCGCGTTGGGCTACGTACCCGGCGACCAGAATTCGAATCCCACTCACGGCCAACGTCGGTGAGGATTATCTGACGGGTCATGGGCCTCCGCTGGGTCGACTCGGCCTGAAATGAGTACCTGGTGCGATGAGTAAACATTGGCACTTGGGAGACAAGGCGGCCGGCCGGGTGTGCTGTTGACCACCCACCCCCTCGTATGCCATGCCGGCCTTAATAAGTGTTCGGGAACGGCACTTGTCCCAACAGTCAGTTGAAAGGCTATGGGGGGAAAGGGGATGGGGGGCGATTTTTGTCGTTTGTGTGTGTGCCCGCATGCGCGCGTGGCTGTTTTGTCTTGCAGCAACTTTTATTGAGCTTCCTGTTGACTTCCTCGGACGGCTGTTTGCGCGCTCACTTTTGTGTCCTGCTTGCGTTTTTCCACAGCACATCTGCGTGATCAACAACCACGGCAAGGAGAAGTACAAGAACAACTGTGCCTGAGCACCGTGTGCCAGCCGCCACAGCAGCAGCAGCAGCACCCCGCACGCCCGCCCGCACGCCCGCCCGCACACCCGCACACCCGCCCGCCCGCACGCACGCCCACCCCTGCACTGCCGCGACCCGCGTTGGTTTTCGGAGTTGACTCCGCTTAAGGCGCCACTCTCCCGCCGCGCGTCCCGGGTTGCGCGCCGTTCCGCGTTCGGTTCCCGATAATTAGCTGCCGAGCGACGGCACGTGTGGCAGAACCGAGTTGGTTTTTTTTCTTGTTTTCCTGTGGAAGCGGCCAGAGGGCGAAACGTCGGACCTCGTGCCGAAAATGAAATTCGGCATGACCGGAGGACACGGCGGTGGCGGATAGCTGTGCCCGCCCCCCCCACCCCCCCCACCTCCCTCACCTCCCTCCCAACCTCGTTTAGATGTCAAGCGGAGACGCTGGATTTGGACGTTGGAGGGAGTTGTGTCACGCGGGCAGCCGGGCGGCTTTTACCGAGGCGCTGCTGCCCTTCACATAAACCTCATGGATATCATTATTATTATTATTAAGTTATAATTTGTCATAAAGTAATTCGAATGTATGTGTACCCCTCATTGTCAAACTACTACTGATGAAGGAGTTCCCCACCCTGCTCCCCCCACCACCACTACAGTGTCACTGGCGGTGGGGGGAGAGGGAAGTATGTTTGACCATACTTCACCAAGCTGGTCACTGGGTTTCTTAAGTTTGTGCTGATTATTATAATATTGTTATCACTTTATAATCATGGTTGAATGGTTGGCGTGAAGCTCTCTCGCCAGGCACTTTCGTGGTTTCCCAATTCAGGTTGACTCTCAGGTTCTCGCCATCCACGCGTTGAATCGCTTGTGGGGGGGTGCGGGTAAAAAAAAAAAACCCCCACAGATAATTAGCGGCATTTCTTCGAGCAAATTATCCCGTTGGCTAATTTCGACCGTAGCGACGCTGCGCTTTATTGTCGGTTTGTTTGCTCGTGTAATGCGTTGAAGTCTGCGTGTGTGTGTGTGTGCTAGAGCCAGTGCTCCTCAACGTGTACGCGTTGTAGGTAATCGCGGTTTCTCGTCACCCCCTGTAACCACTAGAAGGCAACGGCATTCGCCAGTAGCTTTTTTTTCTATTCGAACGAAAAAAAAATCGATTTTAGAACCCAAATGCGACGCGCTGATATTCATCGAAATCTTTCCCATGGGGGGTGGGGGAGGGGCTGAATGTATACAGAGCCCGCCACGGAGCTAAACGAATAAAACGATGGCAGTTTGATGGTAAGACAAAAAAAATGCTGAGAAAAATAACCAATCATTTTCTCAATTTGTGACCCATGAATCCAGACAATTCCATGGGGGGGGGGGGGGGGAGTGGGTGGTGGTGGGGCCAAATCAATCATCACGTGCCTGGTTATTACTATGGCAGTGGAGTGTCTCGGTAGCAATGTTTGAGAGTTAACCCCCCCCCCCCCCCTGTCCAGTGTGTTCTGCACGAGCGGCCAATCCGGGCCGAGCCCAGCCCGTCGCGAGCCCCCCCATGTCTTCATTCATCCCCCCACCCACCACCACCGTCCGTCCTCAATGCATTTCAATTATAACAGTCGTCACGATGCAACTCGCAAAGCCCTTTTAGTTTGCCTTCACTGGTGCATGCGAATCGTCGTGAGTCGTGGTCGATCCACTGCCAGGTGAAGGCCGCCCCAAGTCTACGCACGCTCTATATCTCGCGGTCCAGCTGCGCAACAAATCTTTCGTCTCGCTCTCACGAGCCGGCTCCGTTGCCAATCTCCCAATTCATAGGCACTCGCGCGTGCGCACGAGTGTGTTACGTTTATCGTTGAATCTTTACGTTTCCTATGAGGACCGGGCCGTCCACAGCCGTTGCACCAAGTTCACGGGAGCCAACGCAGCCGCTCACGGATTCTGTGTGCACCGCTAGGGAAACATAAACAAATCTCATGTAATAGTGAACCCCGAAGCATCGTGTGATTTGATGAATCGTGCGTTTCCGCCTGCTGCAAGACATCGGTGCTCCTGTGTTGATATGATTTTTTATCTTTTACAGCCAAATATTTTTTCACGCCGTGTGTAAAATGGTAACGCTTTTACCGTTTTATGGACGGCGAGGCTGTAAAGTAATCGAGTGAAACCATTTTATTTTCTAAAGTATATATACACATTATATGTAAATGTAATATATACATTGTGTGCGCTTGTTGTTGTGTGTGAACGGTAATTGTGGATGGCAGGGGGCAAATCCATTCAGTCCTCCGCTAGCCGCGTAGGAATAAGCCAACCCTCGAGTGGCAGGCAGGGCCAACCCAGGGTTTCCTGGAGGCCTGGGGCTGTATGCCCCGGGGGGGGGGGGCAGAATGCCAATTGGCGGGGGGGGGGGGATGTAGCTCTTATTAATTCGCGACTAAAACGAAAAAGATCTATGGGGGAGGAGGGGCTCTTGTTTGAGGTCTTGGAGGAAAAATTATCCCCTTTTGCCTCACGGTGTGGGGGGTGGGGGATGTGGACGGCGCATCGATCGGTACCGGTCTTTTTTTATGCTCGCGATTTTCACGCGGCGTGGAATCGCGCGCGCAAGAAAACAACGGTCTGCCCTTGTCGTACGTTGTTGCGTATAATCGGGTTCACGTGATCGCCACCGACCACCCCCTGGAGGCCGCTACATTCGCCAAAACAAATTTAAAATATTTATAATATATACACAAGAGTTGATTCTCGAGTCGAATCGTGACCCTGAATTGCAACAATTCATGCGCGAGTTTTCGCGGGAGGGGGAGTACTGAATCGATGCACCCCTAGGGTAGTTATCGTATCAGCAATTGCTGATTGTGGCTTTGGTTCAGTTTCGTGAACGCAGCACAATGTCGCATATCCGACTCGCACGGGGGGGGGGGGGGGGGGGGGGACCAGGGTATAGGCCGCTATGTGAACCGGTCGATTACGGGAACATCCACAGAAATGTATCGTTAAACACCGCGCACGAACCTCGCACTGTTGTGTGCACGTGCATAGGCGGCGGTGGCGTCGCAGTGGTTAGTGCTGCGCTACGAACCTGGCGACCCGGGCTCGATTCCCGCTCACGGCCAACGTCAGTCACGAATATCCGAACTGGTCCTGGGTCCTCACCTAGGTCGACTCGGTCTCAAATGAGTACCTGGTGCGGCAAAGGCGGCCGAGCGTGTGGTGCTGGCCATCCATCCCCTCGTGTGCCGTGGTAACCTTCATAGGTGCTCGCTAACCGGACTTTCCCCAACAGTCTGTTGAAGCTATACGGTGGGTCTTTGTCCAGTTGAAATGACTGGTCAGGGCGGATATGCAACATTGTACTGTATACCTCGTGCGTTTTGCTCTTGAAAAGATACGCAAAGGGAACGCAATGTGCTGCGTGGGCCACAGGCGAGAGATTTTAATTCGGTTGATTAGCTTGGTTTTTGTTTGAAGTCCTCAGGAGGTTTTGTTTTTGGTCAGCATGTGTTGTATTTTCCCAGTATTTTATTTTATCACGCACACTCTCGGACGACCGCTTTGTGTGCGCACGCGTGACATATGGCACCTTCAGCCATTGCGATTTCTCCATTGGCGGAGCGTTAAAAGAAAAAAAGGTTACATTTGAATCTGCATGCGTGTTTTTGGTGTGTAAGCCCCGAACTTTAATGGTGAATGATAAATAATATGATGATGATAATAATAATCTTGCAATAACGTGCACGGCGTTTCACGGACAAAGATGACCATGATCCTGACGGTCGGCGTCGCTCGAAAGCCAGGCGAAGGATGGCGTCTTGTCCCCGGGGGAGACTTGAGCGCTGCTGCTGCTGCCGCAGCCGGTGCAGAGGGGGGGGACGATGGCGTTCCGGACGGTGGTGGCAAAAAGAGACGTTCGGTTTTCCTCCGGACTCTTTTCAGGTGTTCACGTTCACCGCAGAGCTCGCGTGACGATGATCGCAGAGCTCGCGTGACGATGATCGCAGAGCTCGCGTGACGATGATCGCAGAGCTCGCGTAGCGATGATCACAGAGTTCGCGTGACAATGATCGCAGAGCTCGCGTGACGATGATCGCAGAGCTCGCGTGACGATGATCACAGAGCTCGCGTGACGATGATCACAGAGCTCGCATGACGATGATCACAGCTCGCGTGACGATGATCACAGCTCGCGTGACGATGATCACAGAGCTCGAGTGACGATGATCACAGAGCTCGAGTGACGATCACAGAGCTCGCGTGACGATGATCACAGAGCTCACGTGACGATCACAGAGCTCGCGTGACGATGATCACAGAGCTCGCGTGATGATGATCACAGAGCTCGCGTGACGATGATCACAGAGCTCGTGTGACGATGATCGCAGAGCTCGAGTGACGATGATCGCAGAGTTCGCGTGACGATGATCGCAGAGCTCGCGTGACGATGATCGCAGAGCTCGCGTGACGATCGCAGAGCTCGCGTGACGATGATCGCAGAGCTCGCGTGACGATGATCACAGAGCTCGCGTGACGATGATCACAGAGCTCGCGTGACGATGATCACAGAGCTCGCGTGACGATGATCACAGAGCTCGCGTGACGATGATCGCAGAGCTCGCGTGACGATGATCACAGAGCTCGCATGACGATGATCACAGCTCGCGTGACGATGATCACAGCTCGCGTGACGATGATCACAGCTCGAGTGACGATGATCACAGAGCTCGAGTGACGATGATCACAGAGCTCGCGTGACGATGATCACAGAGCTCACGTGACGATCACAGAGCTCGCGTGACGATGATCACAGAGCTCGCGTGATGATGATCACAGAGCTCGCGTGACGATGATCACAGAGCTCGTGTGACGATGATCGCAGAGCTCGAGTGACGATGATCGCAGAGTTCGCGTGACGATGATCGCAGAGCTCGCGTGACGATGATCGCAGAGCTCGCGTGACGATCGCAGAGCTCGCGTGACGATGATCGCAGAGCTCGCGTGACGATGATCACAGAGCTCGCGTGACGATGATCACAGAGCTCGCGTGACGATGATCACAGAGCTCGCGTGACGATGATCACAGAGTTCGCGTGACGATCACAGAGCTCGCGTGATGATGATCACAGAGCTCGCGTGACGATGATCACAGAGCTCGTCTGACGATGATCACAGAGCTCGCGTGACGATCGCAGAGCTCGCGTGACGATCACAGAGCTCGCGTGACGATGATCACAGAGTTCGCGTGACGATCGCAGAGCTCACGTGATGATGATCACAGAGCTCGTGTGACGATCACAGAGTTCGCATGACGATGATCGCAGAGCTCGCGTGATGATGATCGCAGAGTTCGCGTGACGATCGCAGAGCTCGCGTGATGATGATCGCAGAGTTCGCGTGACGATGATCGCAGAGCTCGTGTGACGATGATCACAGAGTTCGTGTGACGATCACAGAGTTCGCGTGACGACGATCACAGAGCTCGCGTGACGATGATCGCAGAGCTCACGTGACGATGATCACAGAGCTCGTGTGACGATGATCACAGTTCGCGTGACGATCACAGAGCTCACGTGACGATGATCACAGAGTTCGCGTGACGATGATCACAGAGCTCACGTGATGATGATCACAGAGTTCGCGTGATGATGATCACAGAGCTCGCGTGACGATGATCACAGAGCTCACGTGATGATGATCGCAGAGCTCGCGTGACGATGATCACAGAGCTCGTGTGACGATCACAGAGTTCGCGTGACGATGATCACAGAGCTCGAGTGACGATGATCACAGAGCTCACATGACGATGATCACAGAGCTTGTGTGATGATGATCACAGAGTTCGCGTGACGATGATCACAGAGCTCGCGTGACGATGATCACAGAGCTCGTGTGATGATGATCACAGAGTTCGCGTGACGATCACAGAGCTCGCGTGACGATGATCACAGAGCTCGCGTGACGATGATCGCAGAGCTCGCGTGATGATGATCGCAGAGTTCGCGTGACGATCACAGAGCTCGCATGACGATGATCACAGAGCTCGCGTGACGATGATCACAGAGCTCGCGTGACGATCACAGAGCTCGCGTGACGATGATCACAGAGCTCGCGTGACGATCGCAGAGCTCGCATGACGATCACAGAGCTCGCGCGACGATCACAGAGCTCGCGTGACGATGATCACAGAGCTCGCGTGATGATGATCGCAGAGCTCGCGTGACGATGATCGCAGAGCTCGTGTGACGATCGCAGAGCTCGTGTGACGATGATCGCAGAGTTCGCGTGACGACGATCACAGAGCTCGTGTGACGATGATCGCAGAGTTCGCTTGACGACGATCACAGAGTTCGCGTGACGATGATCACAGAGCTCGCGTGACGATGATCACAGCTCGCGTGACGATGATCACAGAGCTCGCGTGACGATCACAGAGCTCGCGTGACGATCACAGCTCGCGTGACGATGATCACAGAGCTCGCGTGACGATGATCACAGAGCTCGCGTGACGATGATCGCACAGCTCGCGTGACGATGATCACAGAGTTCGCGTGACGATGATCGCACAGCTCGCGTGACGATGATCACAGAGCTCGCGTGACGATGATCGCCGCCGCTCAGGGAATGGTCTGGCGCAGGGGTCTGCAACCAGAATAACCAAAAACGGAGCCATTTTTTTTGTTTCCAATTCGGTAACAAAAAATTCAAAAGCCGCAATGCACGTGATACAAGTCGGTGGTCTTTAAAGAGCCACATGCAGCTCCAGAGTCGAGGGTTTGCTGACCCCAACCCCCGGTCTGGCGCACTCGGCACCCGCGCCGTGGTGGTCGCGCGAGGCGCAGCCGTCGTGACCGAATGGCACGACGGCTGCGCCTCGCGTCGAGCTTGGCCTGCGTCGGCTCGCCGCGGAGGAGCGTGGTTCGGATCCCCCTCGCTCCCCCGGCCCTGTTACAACTGCGGATGTTGAATACACGGCGCTGTCTGCTTCATAGTGGCGTCATTTGAAAAGAGTAGGCCGTGGGGTACCGGCGTCACGGTTCCAAGTTTGAAGATGTACCTGCGCAACGCTTGGTTGGGATGACGCGCAACAGCTCCGCCCCCGACTGCTGAAACTAACGCCTTGCGCTACATAACTACGGCACGGATACCGAATGGTCGAGACCCACACGGTCCCCGCCGTTAACACGCCACCGGGAGCGAGCGAAATTTCTTCCGTTTCATCTCCCCAAAGATGCCCGCGGTAGCGCATTGGTGAAAACATTTTGAGAGCGGGGACCGCTTGACGGGGGAGGAGGGAGAGGTGCCCGGCTTCAAGCCGCCGGAACGCCGCGCCCCGGACGCGAAGTCTGCTGCTGCTACTTCTATCGCGAACCGAATTGCCAAAGTATAAACCGAGGACTGCCTGATAGCTGGGGCTTGTGTTGCTATAACAGGGTTAGATCCTACACCTGTCCAGTTGGTGGCAGACGGTGGACACGTTGGTGGAATGTGGCGTGCATTTGGCAAGGTCGTATCTAAGCCAAACAAGGAGGAGAGGGTCTGTCCCAACATTCCAATGTTGGACCCTTCGGGAAAATATTTTGAGTCTTTCCTGGCTAAGCAAGCAAAGGGCATTATTATTATTTATTCTAGATTTGAAGCTTTCGTGACTGCAATGATTCATATTCTTAGGTTTTTTCGGTAAAGTCACGTAGGTAAAACATCAAAATTAATAAAAATAAAATAAAGATCACGACGTTTCGGAGGCAACACAAGTCTCCGTCATCAGGTGGGACCGTCACAGCCAGATTAGCTGCATCAAGTGAGGCAATGATTCAAGATGTAATCCCTTAAAAGCGAGTTGAGGGGGGAGGAGAGGGGGGGGGGGGGCTCATCAGAATGTATCTATCGCGGACCCTTTTGGCCCAGCCCCCCCCTCCCTCCCGATACGTTCCATTCATTGGCTACCACATTCTGATGAGCCCCCCCCCCCCTCTCCTCCCCCTCAACTCGCTTTTAAGGGATTACATCTTGAATCATTGCCTCACTTGATACAGCAAATCTGGCTGTGACGGTCCCACCTGATGACGGAGACTTGTGTTGCCTCCGAAACGTCGTGATCTTTATTTTATTTTATTTTTATTAATTTTGATGTTTTACCTACGTGACTTTACCGAAAAAACCTAAGAATATTATTATTTATGTCGAGCCAAATTGTCTTGTAGCTCAAGTCAGCAAAATGCGGCAGCGCTCACACCTCCGTTGTCGAACCAATAGTGGAAATTCCATATTCCCGTGGTGGGGACCAGTTTTTCCATATGATGACCGCTTTAACCCTCCCTGCAAAGTAGCCGTGTGTGTTTCATTGACGTCGGAGAGACATTGTGCCGAGTTGAGATCTGACCCGGGTTCAAACTCGAGGGTGGAGGGGCTGAAACCACTGCGTTCCCCTCCCTTTACGTCTCCCCCAAACATCGGTCATTAATCTGTAAACTATTTTTGTTTTAATCTTAATTTTGGAGCTTTCGTGACTGCAGGAATTATTCTTTGGTTCTTTCGGTTAAGTCACGTCTAAAGATAAAATAATAAATTAAATAATAGCATATTACGACGTTTCGATTGCAACACAAGCAATCATCATCAGGCATGTGATGTCTGTCTATAGTTTTCTAGTTAGATTTTTGTTGCTATTTCTTTTATGCCTGATGATGATTGCTTGTGTAGCAATCGAAACGTCGTAATATGCTA